AATATTTTTTGATTAATTTGATAGTTTGAATTCATAATTATAATCTAGCTAATAGAAATTAGTTTTGCATGTCAAATACTTTAGCTAAAGAAATACTGTGTATCCTTTTAGTTTATTTGCTAGTAAACCTTACATTGATCTTATTAGTTGCAACAGGGTTAGTTGAAAAAGTTTTTTCAGTAATAAAATTTGTAAAGTGCTGTGTAATCAAATGAGTGACTAGTAAATGAATAATTGCTTTGTGACATATTGAAAAAGATGTATTTAATAGTAGTTCTATTAATGCTATCATGAATCATTTTCAAAATATGAAAAGTTGCCATTGACAATTATAGCTATTTTAGATATTTTTACTTTAAAGTATTAAATGAATATACTGAATTTATATTTTTTTAATTTAATGTTAAAACTTCTAGTTTATGCATTTTAACTATTTATATTTTTTCATTATTATTATTATTTTAGTTATGATACCACTTAGAAAAATTCCTGAATTTATGCTAGGATGTTTTTCATTTCATCTCTAATTTGTTCGTGACCTTTGCTTATTACTTATTCCTTGCTTTAACATAATCTTTTTCCCTTTTTAACAGGAACCGAAGTTGATTACCTTATAATCACAGGTGAGAACCGCTTTTACCTATGGCTTAATTAATCTTTAATTATTATGTGCATGACAACCCAAGTCGCAAGATACAAATAACCCTCACACCTCATATCAATACAGATAAATAAAAATAATTTTCATTAGATAAAATAAGTATTATTACATACATTATGATAACAATGAACGAGATCACAAATTATGACATGTTCTTTTCTCTTTTCTTATCCTTTTTTTTTCCCATTAAACAATTATGTGCTAGTTGAATTGAGGAAATAGGAGGAAAAAGAGAAAAAAAAAAACAGTTTTAAGTGAAAAGCCAATTTAAATTGAATGGTGAATTGTTTCCAATTGTAGCTATTTTGAGTTATCCAACCCGAGCCCTATCATATCTGCTATATCTCATTCCACTTGATTTAAGATTAGAATCAAAGACTCCCAATATCAAATGTTAAGTTTTAATCTCTAAGTTATCCCCTCGGGGACAACTAATAACGATATATTTTTTAATTATTACAGATGCATAGTTGGTCAAGATGCCTTGTATATCATCAAAGGTTTTTCTATCTTATTTAATATTTATAAAACTGAGTTCACATTGTAAACAAATATTCTAAATGATTCCTCAATTATTGATTAATTCAATTCTAATAAACTAGTTCTACTTCCATTCCCTGCTAAAACAATCTATAGCTCCTTGTCTTGTGTATTTATGCTGATGTCTTTCTATTCCCCAACAAAGTGCATCATGTATGTGCTAACTATATATTCCCCTATTTAACATGGAGATCTATTCCTATGTAAAGCAGGCTGAGATTTTTGTTCGGTTTGTATTTAAAAGTACCGATTAATATTCTAATACCCCAATAGCTTCACCAGGATGCTTCCCATCTTGTTTGCAATTTCTTTCAGGCTAGATGAAATATACGTGTGCTCTTCAGGCTATTCTGGGATTAGTTACTCTGAGACATCTACCTTTTAAAGACTTTTTTGCTTTCTAAGATAAGTCTCCTACTGATTTATTGGTCTGTGAGCATTATAAGACCTCGGACAAGACTTGTTTAGAGTATGAAAAAAAGGTGGTTTCTATCTTCAATTGCTTGAGTACATAGCAAAGGAGAGCTACTAGCTATTGGAAGGCCCCGACTAGATAATCTGGGTAAACTAGCCAGTAGTTTATCTAAAATGATCACCATCCAAGTAATTAAGGCATGCTTAAAGAAATTATTTGGATACAAGGGACGAAAGCATCGACCAAATGGATGTATGGGTATTAAATGTTAGACTTGACTTTATGAATAGTGCTGAGTATGAGTCTAAATAGTTCAATTTTGGATTAATTGGAATTTCACTAATTCAATACTCGACTCAGCAACTTACATACCTAATCAATTAATAAAAATTTTAAAAATTACATTAAATAAAATATGCCTATATAGTTGTTCACAAATAAAATATAATACCATTTATGTAATTATAATTTTATTTGAGTTAAAATCAAATTAAGTTAATACAAGAAGAAAGACGTAAGAGAGCGTTTATGTACCATGGGCAATGTTTAGTACAAAAGCAGCAAATGTTTAATTGAATGAACTCACAATTGTAATGATAGCCACAAATTTGTTTAAGTTAATACATATGCATCAGTCTGGTTTACTTTATTAGCCACATATAGTTCTTTTCTGGACATAAGTCTGCGTTATGTCTACTCATTTCTAGCTCCGTACCAACAGCTTTTTTATACTTGGAAGCACCCAGCTTCATATTATCTGTGGAAGCAAAAGGATTTGGCGGCATAGTGAGACTGTCTGCCTCACCTTCCAACATTTGTATCACAGCTTTCATTGAAGGACGATTTACTGGAAACCATTGAATGCACCATAATCCAACAATTGAAAGTTTTCTTGCTATCAAGGATTGCCTTTCATCTTCAATTCTCATTCCTAACTGTTCTCCTTTGTCCAAATAATTATACACCCATTCTGGGAAGTACACCTCACTTGTATTCTCCACTGTAACATCAATGTTTTTTCTCCCTCCAAACATTTCAAGTAGTAGCATTCCAAAACT